TGCCAGCGCGGTGAGCTGGGCGGCCGGGGCCGGGGGCGGCGGGGCCGCGCACTTCGCGCCACCGCCCGCTGTCAGCGCTGCCTTCCTGTCGCCAGAGGTGCGCTTCTTCAACTGCTCGGTGGACAACGGCGGCTGCGCGCACTACTGCCTGGAGGAGGGCGGCAGGCGCCTGTGCAGCTGCGCGCCGGGCTACAAGCTGGGGGACGACCACGTGCAGTGCCAGCCCGAGGGTGAGCGGCCCCAGCCGGGCCCCAGGCTCCGGAATCCCTGCAGACGCCCGGGCGGGGAGGGCGTGGGGGGCACTGGGAGGCTCCCAGACGTGAGCGATGACCAGGGTTGAATCATAGGGTAACTGGTCACTGCTGGTGCCGTCAGCCCGCCAGAGGGACAGTGCCCTCGGTCCAGTTTCTGCTTTCTCTCGTCTTTGCTTGCCTGGCTTCCTCCAGGTGTCCCTGCACCCTTGGGGACACCTCCTGGAGCTTGAGTCCATCGGTAGGTCAGCTCCCAAGTGGGAGCGGACCTGGGGGCCAGCCTCCAGCGTCCTCTTCCATCTATCTGGGATAGTTCGTTCCCTTATGACACATTGTCGGCCACGCGTCCCATCTCTTTACCCCTTGCTTCTCTGAGGAGAGAACAGAACCCTGATACTGCCTTCTTTTATATTTTCCTTCTTATGTATTTTTATTTTTACTTAATTTATATGCATATAAAGTTTTAAAAGTCAGTTTTACGACTCATGTAATGAACCTCAGCATGTTGTTCCTTGGTGGGGTCTCTTTTCATTCCTTGTGACTCCTGGTGAGCCCTTTCAATGTGGGAATTCCTGTCTTCTGCGTCTAGGAACATTTTTTAGTTATTTCTCTGACAATCTCTGCTCTGCTTTCTCTATCCTCTCTTCCTGGACCTCTTGTTATTTAGATCTCTTTCCTCTAGTTTTATCGTCTCTTCCATTTTCCATCTCTTTGACTTTGTGTTCTTCTTTTAGGGAACTTTCCACACTTTATATTCTCAATCCTTCTACTAAAAATTTTTTTCTAACTTTGTACTTTGAAATAATTAGAGATTCACAAGAAGTTGCAAAGAAATACCTGGTGGATCTCCTGGCCTGTGCACTTCCCTGGCGAGGCCATCAGAAGGTCCAGGTCATCAGCAGGCTCAGGCCATCAGCAGAACCACCACTGCCCATGTCCTTAAGACTCTTCTTGTAGTCTGGTTTCTGAGAGGAATTCTCCAAGCTCATGCTGGAAGATGCTCAGGCCTGGCTTCCAGCTCCTTAGAGCAGGGTGGGGAAGGGGAGCTAGTGTCTGTGCAGTCTGAGGACATTTGTGTGACTCCCCGTGGTCAGCCAAGCATGCCGCTCTTTCCTGTGGCTGTGCCGGGTCATGGGCTCTGGTTCACCCTCTGCAGGAAATGGTCTTCCGGATGGGGTAGGAGAAGGGAGTCAAGCCGCTGAGGAGGGCTCCAGCAGTTTCTCTTGTAAACTCCCAACATGCCTCCCATCTGCAGGCCCACCCGCACTGCCTCCCTCAGAAGCACCGAGGCTTCCTGAGGTTCTGTGAAACAATCCATCAGCTTCTGGCACTGCCATTACTGGCTGAGGTTTTTGCTTTCTTGGTCTGCCAAGTCAGTCACCATGTCCATCTGCTGAGCACCTTCTGGAATTTTGTTGCTGTTGTCTCCTCTCCATTCTCTCGTCCTGGGGCAGTTCCCTGGCTGACAGCTTCCCATTGCTCCATTGCCAGTCTAGATCTCTTCAGCTGGCAGTCAGGGTCCATCATGAGCAGACCCTGCAGACCTTCCAGCCCTCAGTTCTCCATGGTATGCTCTCTGCTCTTGGCAGGGAGGCCTCACAACCGTGCTCAGGGCTACTTTGGGGCTCTCCAATAATGCCCCCCTCTTTCTCCCCATAATTTCTTACCTCTGCTAGGATCGTGGCAGCATCCCAGCATGAGACCTTACTTACATACCTCAGAGATTACCCGGAACAGCCCTGGGGTGTAATGAGCTTTTCAGAAGTTTAACAACCCGTGCAAGGACACACAGCCAGGCAGTGATGTTGAATGGTCTGCCCCTTGCCATTAGGTGGCACTGTCTGTTGACTGACTGACTGAAGGGGATTCGTAGCTAAAGTTAATTGAGTGTTCTAAGCATCATTTATCCCTCAAGCTCTGCAATGAGCCCGCAGACTAGTCTACAGGCAGGAGGAGGACAGAGATGGGAGGGCGGCCTCAGGAGTGCTGCCTGGCAGGCCCCTTACTGCCTCCCTCTACCTTCAGTGAGGTTCCCTTGTGGGAGGCTGGGGATGCACATGGAGATGAAGCGCAGTCACTTGAAACACAACACAGACCAAGTGAACCAGATGGGCCCGCGGATCGTCGATGGGAAGTTGACCAGACAGGGAGACAGCCCCTGGCAGGTACGAGGAGAGGCAGGGCCACCTCTCATTTGCTGGGTCAGGGGTCAGTGAGCCCCTACTGGGAGTTCTTGCTCAGGATGCAGAAGCCTAGAGGGAATTGCTTCTGTTGCTTGGGGGGCAGCTGGGAGGAGTGATAAGGGTGAGGAGGGGGTACAGGGAAAGATGGAGGTGACCTGATGGGAGGGCTAGGAGGGAGGGTGACCCCTGAGTACCTCTACCGCCTCAGCATGGGAACTAACACTTGGTTCTTCTCTCTGTCAGACACTGGAGGTGGGGAGGTACAGAAATCAACAAGTTGGGGTACTGGCCTTGGGGAGCTCACAGACTCTGGGAGGGTCAGGATCCTAAATACCAGGCAACCCAATGGGACCAGGGCCAGGATGGCCACCAGGACAAGGGCTGAGGGAAGCCTCAAGGGGACACTGAAAGCAGCCTGGGGGCCATAAAGGCTTTTCAGAGGATATGAGGCCTGACCCAAGACCCCAAGGATGAGAAGAGCTCTCTCAGTGACGTGGGGTGTGGCTGAGGACGACTACAGGAACATCATGGGCAAAGTCAGAGAGACACCCTGGGACAGGCCAACACCATAAAATGTGCAGAAATACAAAATGCCAGGAAAGGTCTGTAAGCCTATACCCATGTGACCAAGGAACCCAGGAAAGCACTTAAGTACCATGCCAGGGGCCATGTGAACCCAGGGGCCCTGGACTGAGTTGTCAGAAGGCAGCCACGTGATGTCACTCGCTCGTCCCCATTCCAGGTGGTCCTGCTGGACTCAAAGAAGAAGCTGGCCTGCGGAGCAGTGCTCATCCACACATCCTGGGTGCTGACGGCGGCCCACTGCATGGAGGACTCCAGGAAGCTCATCGTCAGGCTTGGTGCGGGCTGGAGCCAGGCAGGAGGAGGGGGCTGTCACAGGCCTGGGGAGTGGGTGGGGCCAGGCAGGCTGTCCAGATTTGGGAAACCCTGTTCCCCAGGGTGCTTGAGCTCCACAGGTGTCTGGAGGGAAGAGGCCTATGTGTCCCCACTGCCCACTGTGTGACACCTGGTATTCTGCAGGTAGGGGATTCTCTGGTGCCCTCTACAAATCTGGGCACAGGCACTTGCACACATGTGTTTTTAAGTGAGGGGGTCACACACATCCTTGCCTCTTTACTCACGCATATGGAGCAGGCTGTGTGCCTCAGCATCCCTGGGTGCAGAGAGCTGCAAGGCCTGACCTCAGGGCCATGCTTCACACAGACTCACAGGGATAGAGCTGTGCAGCAGGGGCCCTGGCATCTGCCAAAGCATCGAGATGCTTCCCTCATAGTCTGGGGGTCCCCAAGCCTAGACCCCCTCTATGACAATTTCCGGAGGGGGCTGTCAATTGACTTTATGCAAAAAAGAAGGAAAAGTGTATTGAGAATGACCAAATTCACACTCCCTGCAATTACCTTCAGCACTTATGACCCCCGGGGGCCACTCCTACTGGCAGGAAAAGTCACCCTTGATAGGGATCCAAGCATAGACAGGCAGCTCCACAACAGTGCCTGGGACACACAGGTGAACATTGTCCAGCTGTGGACCCACTTCAGGGCCTCTGTCCAGGCCTGCAGGAGCATAGAAGTCATGTGGGCCTCAGGAAAGTGGCCGGGGCAGAGGCTCCCCAGGCTCACTCTGACGGTGCCCTCTGTCCTGCAGGGGAGTATGACCTGCGGCGCATAGATAATTTGGAGATGGAGGTGGACATCAAGGAGGTCCTCATCCACCCCAACTACAGCAAAAGTACCACCGACAATGACATCGCGCTGCTTCAGCTGGCCCAGCCCGCCACACTCTCAGACACCATCGTGCCCGTCTGCCTCCCGGACAGTGGCCTTGCAGAGCGCGAGCTCACTCAGGCTGGCCAGGAAATGTTGGTGACGGGCTGGGGCTATCACAGCAGCCGAGAGAAAGACACCAAGAGGAACCGCACCTCCATCCTCAGGTTCATCAAGATTCCCTTGGTGCCGCGCAATGAGTGCAGCAAGGTCATGAACAACGTGATCTCTGAGAACATGCTATGTGCGGGCATCCTCGGGGACCGGCGGGATGCCTGTGAGGGTGACAGTGGGGGGCCCATGGTCACTTCCTTCCATGGCACCTGGTTCCTGGTGGGCTTGGTGAGCTGGGGTGAGGGCTGTGGGCTCCTTCACAACTACGGTGTTTACACCAAAGTCAGCCGCTACCTTGACTGGATCCACGGCCACATCAGAGATAAGGAAGCCTCGCTCAAGAGCCAGGCGCCTTAGCATCCCCCCTTGTCCTCTCTGGGCCCCAGAGGCCACTCCTGGAGTGGGGCTGGGCTGTTGAATGGCAATATATGGGACATTAAAGGGGCATGCAACAAGCACACCAGCCTGCTGTTCTGTCTGTCCTTCCATCTGTTTTCTGGGTGTTCTAGAAAGAAGTAACATTTATTGGGCATGTATGTCATATGTTTTATGACATACACACTCAATAAATTTAAATTTCATGTCCTTATAAATTACCCAGTTTATAAATCACGTTTTATGAACAGATTTTTACTTAACTCCCAAAGCAACTCTGGGGGGTGAGGAGGAGCAGATATAAGTTTTTGGTGTTTGAAGATGATAAAAGTTGGAGGGGAGAGTGTCTTCTTTATGAAAAAGAATTAAAATGTAACTACAAAACTGCTAGAGCCTTTCCCAGGGCCTTGGAAAGAGCCTGTGCGAGTCAGGGATCCTAAACCTAAAGCTTGACTGGCTATAGAGTAAACCCTATGGAAGCAGGTGTTTTTAGCTCCTATTACAGAGGAGGAAACTGAGGCTCAGGAAGGTTCACATGGTGGAGCCAGGATGCAAATCTAGGGCAGACTCCAAAACCCAGGTGCTTTTCTCTCTTCCCCGTTCCTAGGGGGTAGCTGTTTTGCTGCCTGCTGGGTGTGGAGGCCCTCATCAGCCCTTTGGGAATGTAGCCAGAGATTCAGAAGGTGTTGGTTTGGCCCAGTGTGAGCTCTCAGTGTAGCTGGGGAAGCTATTTAAGAGCAATGTTGCACAAGCATGAACAGCAGCAAGCAGGAGGCTCTGTCTTAACCCGGCCCTATAAGCATAATTGGATGAGACAGAGAGAAAACTTAGGATACCCTGATTTGAAATCAATAAATACATGATAAGAAGGAATGGTGGTGAAGGGCCGGCCCGTGGCTCACTGGCTGAGCGTGGTGCTGACAACACCAAGTCAAGGGTTAAGATCCCCTTACTGGTCATCTTTTTTTAAAATAAAAAAAGAATGGTGGTGAGACAAAGCTCAGAAAATTAGACTGAAGTCCTAAAATGTGCTCTCTGTGTGACCTTGGAAAAGTTGTTTCTCCTCTCTGGGTATGATGGTTAATTTTAGGAGTCAGTTTGACTGGATTAAGGGATACTCAAATAGCTGGTAAAGTATCATTTCTGTGCTATGTGTTAGATATGTCTCCCAATAGTTCATGTATTGGAAACTTGACTTCCATTGTAATAGTGTTAACGAGGGGTCCAGTTATGGTATTTGAAAGGTGAGGCCTTTAAGAAGTGATTAGATTGTGAAGACTGTGCCCTTGTGAACGGATTGATCCATTCATGGAGTCACGGGCATGGTTCTGATGGCTTTACAGGGACAGTGAGTGAGGTGAGCTCTCTCTTGCTCAGCCCATTCTTCATGTGACACCATGAATTGCTGCAGAGAGTCACTCCGCCAGGAAGAAGGCCCTCGATTTCCCAGCCCCCAAAATGTAAGAAATAAATTTCATTTCTTTATAAATTACCTAGTTTCGGGTATTTGGTTATAAGCAACAGAAATGGACTAATGGTCTGTGAGGATGTTTCCTGAGGAGATTGGCACGTACGTGGGTGGACCAAGTGTGGAAGATCCACCCTCACTGTGGAAGGCACCATCAAATTAGCTGTCCCACCCCCACTCTCCAGAGAACAAAAAGGTGGAGGGAAGGCAAATTCTTTCTCTCTCCTGGAGCTGGGACACCCATCTTCTCCTGCCCTTGGACATCAGAACTTCAGGTTCTCTGGCCTTTGGTCTCTGGGACTTGCACCAGAGGCCCTGTGGGTTCCCAGGCCTTCAGACTTAAATTGGGCCATGCCACTGACATCCCAGGGTCTTCAAGTTGCGGATGGCATGTTGTGGGACTTCTCAGACTCCATAGTTGTGTAAGCCAATTCCCCTGACAAGTCCCTTCTCATATATCTATATCTATACCTGCATGTATAACCCTATGTCTGTAGCTATGTAATCTATATCCATACATGCTATTGATTCTGTCTCTCTGGAGAACCTTGACTGATACGCTGGGTATCAGTAGAACAGAGGGATCAGATGAGAGTGGTGGTTCTCAGCCCTGGCTGTACATTTTAATCTCCTGGAGAACTTCCTAAAACACCTATTTTCAGTCCTACCTCCAGAAATTCTGACTAAATTGACTTTAGGTGGGGGAGGGGGAACCAGACACTGATATTTTCACAACTCTACATTTCATCTTAATGTGTGACTGAGGTTCAAAGCTGGGCCAAATGGTCTTTTAGGCCATTTCTCCTTGGGTAGGCTCTAGTTCTAAGACTGTCAGGGGCAACGAGAATAAGACACACCAGTAATCTCAGAAAGCACACGTAGTAAAGAAGGACTTGATTGGTGGTTATGCCCAGCTAGTCAGGCCACAGCTGCTGCTTCCAGACCAGAGGGGACTCCAGGACCCACTGAGTTAGTTATTATCTATGTGCAGCCACAAGAGAAGAGGCTGCCTGAGACGGGGCCTCCAGGATGCAGCTCCTTACCGACCCGGGAAAGGGCTGGTGGGACTGTTTGGACACGGGAGTAAGCCAGGCCCAGGGCTGGAACCACCTGCAGAGTGGTGAAGGGGCCGGTGTTTCCACACTTTCGGTGGGAAAGGACAAATTGAGAGGTGACAGCGTGGCGGAGGTCCTCATCCCTGTTAGAGGTTCCCCGGGTGGGCTTCCGGTCATGGTGGTTACCTGGCTCGGGCTGGACGACTTCTGGCATGACAGCATGAGGAGATACACTGAACCGCTCCCCAGTGAAACTAGTGAAAATTATAAAACCACACATTTAAAGTTTCTGGAAATGGCCCTTAGGGGAAACAAAACAAGAGCAAAAACACAGCTTTTAAACCAACAGAAGAGGGGCTGGCTGGTTCACTCAGTTGGCTAGAGTGCGGTGTTGTAACACCGAGGTCAAGGGTTCGGATCCCCTTACCAGACAGCTGCCAAAAGAAACAGAAACAGTAAGCCAACAGAAGAAAACCTGATCCATCCAACAGAAAGCAAGGGAGGTGGATGGGCCAGACTAGACCCAGGGAGACAGAAAACGGTATAGGAAAGGCTTTACGTAAATCCACTTTAACAGAGCCGTTTTTTTTTTTTTTTTCCTTTTTGTCTTTTTTCGTGACCGGCAACGGATCGCAACCCTCAGTGTCCCGCCCGTACCGGACTGGGACCGGCAACGAGATCGCAACCCTCGGTGTTGCGCCCGCCCCCCGCTCCGCCAGTGAGCGGAACCGGGCTGTATGTGGGATCCGACCCCTCGGCGGGAGTGCCGCTGCGCTCCCAAGCAGTGCACTGTAGCAGGGCACCCCCGGGTCCGCCCTAACAAAGCCTTTTTTTTTTTTTTTCCTTTTTGTCTTTTTTCGTGACCGGCAACGGATCGCAACCCTCAGTGTCCCGCCCGTACCGGACTGGGACCTGCAACGAGATCGCAACCCTCGGTGTTGCGCCCGCCCCTCGCTCAGCCAGTGAGCGGAACCGGTCTGTATGTGGGATCCGAACCCTCGGCGGGAGTGCCGCTGCGCTCCCAAGCAGTGCACTGTAGCAGTGCACCACCGGGCCGGCCCTAACAAAGCCTTTTTATTGAAAAAATAAAAGGACATGAAAAGAAATCCAAGACTCAGCTGAAAAGTGACTATCTTATTACCACATTTTGAGAGACTGCCACCAGAGTGGCTGCATGGTAGAATGGAAAGCGTCCAGGCCCTAGACTCAGGGGCTCATTTCCCAGTTGGTGGCCCAAGGCTTGACCTTCCTGAACCTTCTTTTTACCTAAGAACTTGGGTTCATACCCTCTCTATTCTCAGTGGTTTTGAGGAGCAAAGGAAATCAAACAACCACAGTGCCTGGTGCCTGGAGGTAGGTCCTCAGTAAGCTCCTCCTCTTCTTCTTCTTTCCTGACCTCTTCATGCAAAGCGCAAGACTAAGGGCTACAGTGACTATAAAGTCTCTTCAGAGAAGGGGGAGATCAGCGCAGGCTAAAGTCATCTGTGACCGTGGAAGAATTCGGTTCTCCAGTGGAAGGCAGCAATGTGTAGAGAGTCCTGTGCTGGGCTTGCCGGGGTGAGGAGCGGGGGGTTCTGCCCCCTGTGGAGCCCTCCACACGGCTCAGCCTTTAGGAGGAGCCATGGGAAGGACAGATGGGAAACTGCTACCTAAATGAGCCAAAAGGACCAGGGCGAGCTGGGCAGAGATGGTGGGGGCGGTAAAAGGAGCTGGTAGGCAAAGGCCCAGGAGTAGGCTGCTAAGCCTCAGGGGAGGCCAGGAGAGCTGAGCAGGGAGATGGGCCCCAGGAAAGAGACAGCCGCCAGCTGCAGAGCCATGTCAGGGGAGGCTGCAGGCCGGGGCGGGCGGGGGAGTGCAAGTGGCTCTACTGAGCACCGTGACTGCAGGTGTGCACTGGGCACCTGGCCCACGGTGACTGTGGTCATCTCACAGTAGCCAGGGCAGGAACTAACTCCCTCTATTCTGATAAAGGAGAAAGGGTCTCAGAGGGGCTCCCTACATTGCCCCTATTGGGGGAATCTAGGTGAGAATGTGGCAGGCTCCGAAGTCCTTGCTCTGTCTCATGTGACATGAAGCCAGGTGGCAGGAGAAGAGAAGAGTGGCATATGGTTGGGCCGTGGCAGGACCTGGGCTCTGTCAATATTTGGGATGGGTCAATCATTAGCCAACCTCAGCTTGTCCCTCAGCGGGCTCTCCTGGGTGGCTGCCGGAGGGTCCACAGGGCTTAGCCAGGATTGGATGTGGAGGACAGGGCGGGTGAGCAGCACCTGGCCTCTCTGCTCAGAAGACACCCCCTCCTGCAGGGCTGCAGTCCTGTCTCAGGGGCTGGACAAGCAAGCGCTGAAGGCACTACACAATTGGAAAGTGAGTTTTGAAACAATCTGTCAGGAAAAGAAGACATCAAAGTAGTCATCATAGGAGAAGTCAGAATTTTTTTTTTTTAAAAGATGACTGGTAAGGGGATCT